ACACACACACACACACACACACACACATACACATACAATCACACTCACACGACCACACAAAGACACACACAAACACCCACATATTATATAAAATGACTATGACAACTCCAGTCTTACATCAACCGACTCACTCACCTATGTCTCGGGGTGTACAACAGAAAGACCAACACAACCATCCGCATACCGTGAACGATACAGGTCAGACACAGCAACAAATATACACGTTTCTGAAAAGCTCCAAACTCCCCTAGATACTGCAAAAGGTCATCGAATTGCATCCTGTAGATACAAACAGATGAAAGGTAATATACTATAATATAATATATTATCACACTTGTATGTACTGTGCATTTATGTAATATAGATCGATATTAATATATTAAGTCTAACCTGTCTAAAAAGGAACCTCTAGGAGACCACAAAATTCCGTCTTAGAGACTGGAATGGAATTTAGGAGGAGATGGAGGGGGGTTTGAGAGGCCCAGCCGGTGGGATCAAGGGTCGCTTTTCAGGTGGGCAAGCAGTGGTCAAAACCTCACACGTCTCAAGTGCTATCATCTGTGAATCTTCCTTGATAATGGCATGTGTCAGTCCACTTCTCTCTTGCCATCAATGCTTGCATTTCATAGGACCACGTTTGACCTATTAAAACAGAAACGGCTGAACATCTCCTGTGCTTCCACATTTAGCCCCACCCATCGGTGTAATTAGCACAGTCAACCAATGCCGCCCCTCCCGTGCATGAGAGAACGATTCGAGGAGCTATTATCTCGACTGGCGTACGATCAGAGCGGCAGGCATTGGTCATACTAATTTCACACCTCCGGCCTCTGGCTACCCATGAGAGTTTCTGTGCTGGGGCGCCGCTGGAGCACTTTTATAGGCACTGATGAGATTTAACAATCACACACCCTGACCTTCTGTACCGTTAAGGGCTCAATAAATGGATGAGCTAATTGCAAATAAAAAGCTGGTGTTGGTTAAATAACTTCAACGCCTGCTATATACTGAGCAGGCATTAATTAACATCTACCCCCAAATTGTCCCCCCCCCCTCCTCCCCCTACCATAGCACGCACAGTTCTTAACAGGTAGCCTCATTTACAGATTTAAACCCGTGGCGTGAAGGAAAGCGAAAGGGCATTTACATGATGGCAGCTTCGGTTTATAATTTAAAAGTGTGTGGGTTTTTTTAATATGACAATATGTCCGGTTTTCATAGAACACCACTGTAACTGTTAGTGTTAATTTTGTCAGTACCAATACACCATGTTATTGCAAAGAAATGAGAAGCAGAAACAGAAGGCAAGGAGGCTCAAGTCTCTCTCTCTCTCTCTTTCTCTTTCTCTCTCTCCCACTCTCTCTCTCTCTCTCTCTCTCTCTCTCTC